ATATTCAAGAAATCAGTCATCCAAGTTATAAATGATAAGTAGTTCATTGGTGTCTTTTTTTTCTAGAGTCCACATATAAGTGATACATGGCATTTCTCTTTCTCTTTGTGGCTTCACTTCGAATAATGATCTCCAGGTACATCAATTTTGCTGCAGATGGCATTATTTTATTCTTTTTATGGTAGAGTAGCATTCCATTGTATATATATACCACTTCTTTATCCAGTCATCTGTTGATGGACATTTGGGTTTTTTCCATGTCTTGGCTATTGTTACTAATGTTGTTATGAACACTGGGGTGCATGTGTCTTTTTGAATTACGGTTCCCTCTGGATATATGCCCAGAAGTGGGATTGCTGGATCATTAGTAAGTCTGTTTAGTGTTTTAAGGAACCGTCATACTGTCCTCCATAGAGGCTGCACCAATTTACATTCCCACTAACAGTGTAGGAAGGTTACCTTTTCTCCACACCCTCTCCAGCATTTATCATTTGTGGACTTTTTAATGATGGCCATTCTAACTGGTGTGAGATGATATCTCATTATAGTTTTGATTTGCATTCCTCTAACAATTAATGATGTTGAGCATCCTTTCATGTGCTTGTTGGTCATCTGGATGTCTTCTTTGGAGAACTGTCTATTTAGGTCTTCTGCCCACTTTTTCATGGAGTTGCTTGTGTGTTTTCGATGTTAAGCTGTATGAGTTGTTTTTATATTTTGGAAATTAGTCCATTGTCGGTTGCATCATTTGCACATATTTTCTCCCATTCTGTAGGTTATCTTTTCATTTTGTTGATGGTATCCTTAGCTGTGCAAAAGCTTTTAAAAAGTTTAATTAATCCCATTTATTTTTACTTTTATTTCCATTACTCTAGGAGCTGGTTTGAAAAAATATATACTGCTGTGTGATTTATGTGAGTGTTCTGCCTACATTTTCTCTAGAGAGTTTTATACTATGTGGTCTTACATTTAGGTCTTTAATCCATTTTGAGTTTATTTTTGTATATGGTGTTAGAGAATGTCTTAATTTCAGTCTTTTACAAGTAGCTGTCCAGTTTTCCTAGCACTACTAACTGAAGAGTCTGTCTTTTCCCCATTGTATATTCTTGCCTCCTTTGTCGTAGATTAATTGACTATAAATACATGAGTTTATCTCTGGACTTTCTATCCTGTTCCATTGATCTATGTGTCTGGGTTTGTGCCAGTACCATACTGTTTTGATTATTTTAGCTATGTAGTATAGTCTGAAGTCAGGGAGAATGATTCCCCCATCTCCCTTCTTCTTTCTCAAGATTGTTTTGGCTATTTGGGGACTTTTGTGTTTCCATACAAATTTTAACATTTTTTTGCTTCAGCTCTGTGAAAAATGTTGCTAATTTGATAGTGATTCCATTGAATCTGTATATTGCCTTGGGTAACATGGCCATTTTAACAATATTGATCCTTCAAATCCAAGAACACCATATATCTTTCCATTTGTTTACATCATCTTCAATTTCTTTCATCAGTGTCTTACAGTTTTTGGAGTACAGGTCTTTTGCCTCCTTGGGTAGGTTTATTCCTGGGTATTTAATTCTTTATGGTGCAATGGTAAATGGTATTGTTTCCTTAATTTCTTTTTCTGCTATTTCATTGTTAATGTATAGAAATGCAATGGATTTCTATGTATTTTGTGTCCTGCAACTTTACCAAATTCATTGATGAGTTCTAGTAGTTTTCTGGTCACTTCCTTAAGGTTTTCTATGTATAGTACCGTGTTATCTGCAAACAGTGACAGTTGTACTTCTTTGTTTTGAATTTGGACTTCTTTCTTTTTCTTCTCTGATTTCTGTGGCTAGGACTTCCAAAACTATGTTGAATAAAACTGGCAAGAGTGGGTATCATTGCCTTGTTCCTGATCTTAGAGGAAATGCTTTCAGGCTTTTCCCATTAAGTATGATGTTAGCTGTGGGTTTGTCATGTATGGCCTTTATAATGTTGGGGTATGTTCCCACTTTCTGGAGAGTTTTTATCATAAATGGATGTTGAATTCCATCAAGAGCTTTTTCTGCATCTATTGAGATGATCGTATGGTTTTTATTCTAAAATTTGTTAATGTGGTGTATCACGTTGATTTGCAGATACTGAAAATTCCCTGCATCCTTGGGATAAATCCTACTTGATGATGGTATATGGTCCTTTTAATCCATTGTTGGAGTCAATTTACTAGTATTTTGTTGACGATTTTTGCATCTATATACATAAGTGATAGTGGCCTGTAATTTTCTTTTTTTGTGGTATCTTTGTCTGGTTTTGGTATCAGGGTGATGCTGGCCTCATAGAAGGTGTTTGGAACTGTTCCTTCCTCTGTAATTCTTGGAAATAGTGTCAGGATAGGTGTTAGCTCTCTCTTAAATGTTTGGTAGAATTCACCTGTGAAGCCATCTGTTCCTGGACTTCGGTTTGTTGGGAGTTTTTTACTGATTCAATTTTAATACTGGTAATTGGTCTATTCATATTGCTTACTTCTTCCTGGTTCAGTCTTGGTAAATTGTACATTTCTAGGAAATTGTCCATTTCTTCTAGGTTATCCTTTTTGTTAGCGTATATTTGCTCATAGTAGCCTCTTAAGATCCCTTGTATTTCTGTGGTGTCGGTTGTAACTTCTTTTCATCTTTGACAAATTTGGGCCCTCTCCCTTTATTTCTTGATGAGTTTATCAAAAGGTTTATCAAAATTTTTTTTTCAGAGAATCAGCTTTTTGTTTCATTGATCTTTTCTGTTTTTTTAGTCTCTGTTTCATTTATTTCTGCTCTAATCTTTGATTTATTTTCTTCTACTAATTTTGGATTTTGTTGTTCTTTCTCTAGCTGTTTTAGGTGTAAGGTTAGGTTGTTTACTTGAGATTTTTCTTGTTTCCTGAGGTAGGCTTGTATCGATAAGAGCTTCCCTCCTAGAACTGCTTTTGCTGTGTCCCAAAGGTTTTGAATTGTTGTTTTCATTTTCATTTATCTCAAACTATCAGATTGCCTCTATTTTAATCCCTAGTTTACTACACACTAGTTGTATCACTCCAGGCAAGTCATTAAATCCTTTTATGTCCTTAATTTCATCACTTCTAAAATGGGAACAATAATAGTTTCTCATGGGATTACTGTGAAGTTTAAATGTGTATAATTATTAAAACATCTAGAATGGTGTCTGGAATAGTATTCAGTATACATTACCTAGTATTTATTAGTATTACTTATTATATTGGTAAATCCAATTAATGAAAGTATTTTTAATACAAAAAAAGTGAGAAGACATACTCGTCCCTCCACTGATACATCATATCTATAACATTAACCAGGTTTTTCAAATCAAATAACTTAGGCCCCTCTATCTACCACTTAGAACTAACCATAAGCTCAAGCTTTTGGCAGGAGGAAGCTTTTTTAAAATAAGCTCTTTAAAGCTAAGTGGTGCCAATAAATATCACAATTTACCAGCACAAAAATATACTTAATCTTCCCATACCTAAGATTTATAATTGAATAATCAAAATTTGTCTGAGCTGTTTTCAATCCTTGTATCTAGCATTTTTTCCCTTCTAGTAAGTTTATATCTCCAAATTTAATCATTACCAATTATTTATAATCAAGTCTAGGTAAAGATTTTTAAAAATTTTGAGGGGGAGTAATTAGGTTTATTTATTTTTAGAGGAGGTATTGGGGATTGAACCCAGGACTTTGTGTATGCTAAGTATGTGCTCTACCACTTGAGCTATATGCTCTCAACTAGGTAAAGATTTTTAGCAGCTGATTTTTATTGATCTGGGGAAACAGCTGTTTGCCCCATTATAACATTTCTTTTGTTAGAATTTATAGTAGTGAAGTTTAATATCCTAACAGACAAAAAGACTGCTTAGTTTCTGTAGAAACATAGCTTCTGAAACAGTTTCAAAATGAAACCCCCAAAACAGAGAGAGATACTTAGATATTTCTACAATAACAAAACAAAACATAATATGCTTTATAAATTAATCTCAAGTCTGAGCCAGACACGGAAGGGTGGAAAGCCTCAATTCTGTACCCACATAATCAACAGTCTGTGGAAACTCTGGGAACCATGCCACTGGTGTCCAAGTTAGCATAGTTGGGAAATGACACATTCTTTAAGAAGCTGTTGTCCAGGAAATGAGTAGGTCAGAAAGCACACCAGTAAAAGGTCCATAAACTTGTTTTATGAATGAAGTGTATGAGGTATACTGGCTCCATGCTGCAGCACTTCCATGAGCATATCATAATTTCTCATTCATTCTTCAGTTTTTAGCATGGTGATGGATAGAAAGAACTCTAACATGAAAAAATGTCAGCCATAAGAATATTATCCCATGCCATTTCATAATTATTTTCCATATTTATCTCCATTCTGAGATCAGATCTTCCCACCTGCCCCTCCCCACCAAAAGAAAGAAATAGTATACAAAAGCCCCACAAATTTAACCAATTTTATTCACACTTCCCATGAAAAGCAGTTACATTTTTACATAGTCATTAACACAGAACAAAAGAAATCTTAAGATTAATATATCTGATTAGACACACAATACAGAAAATAAATGTGAAAATTTAAAAATAGCATACTTTAGTGATTAAATTTATACTGTATTTTCTACTTATTTATAGCAGCATCAGTAGGATTTCTCTATTTTTTAATAAACTAGCAGCAAAACATTATAAACTACACAAATTCAGTAGATGTTTCCCTCCACTGTTTCACTCATACAGAATTTATCACATTAACCAAACAAAACCACTTCTACTTCCTGAAGAAAAAGGTGGGAAAAGATTTCACAAGTCACTAGTTTTCCCAAAAAAAGGGAGGAGTAATAAAGAAAGCTGCAAAAAATTTGCATACAATTACCAAAAAATAAATTCTCAACCACCTTAACCAATTATGGGTAGATTTTGTGGCATCGCCTTATGTGTGTATTGGTGAATAAAAGCTATGTTAACCTTTCTGATTTTATATTGCAGTTGAAAAATATGTGGAAATTTCCAGGAGGCCTGTCAGAGCCTGGAGAAGATATCGGTATGTATCTTACCTATCTTTAATTGGCTTGAAAATGTTGAGGAAATTCATATATTCTTTCTTGGAGCTAAAAAAAAAAGTATTTTAACTTTTCTAATTGTTTTGGATTAAGAAAACTTCGGTGAAGTTATTTCAAGGCTGATATAAAATTAGCAGCAAAACTTGTAATGATCTTATTCCATTAGTATAAATAATAACACCTATTTTTCTGCTTAGAACTGCTTCTAGATTAATTTGTTTCAAAATGAGAAGCTCCGGATATACTTCAGTCTGGTGTAGCATTAAGGGTTATTTTGAGTATGACTAATTTTGTTGGAATCAAACTGAGAAAACAGAATTTTTGGCCACTTTATCACATGAAGATGAATAGTAACATTTAAATGAACTGTGAAATAAGTATTATTTATAAAATCAGTGATAGAGCAGTGGTGACATAAATCTTCCCTTTATGAAACTTTTATCTACTATTTTGGATAGTCAGGAAGCATAGTAAACATAGTAAAACAGTAAAATGTCTCATAAGAAAGTCTCAAACGAGAGGTAACTTCCTAAAACAACTTCCTGAGCTCAATATTTAAGACAGAAATATGAAATTAATAATTGTCACTGATTTTACAGGAAATAGGGGAAAGAATAGAAACTTCTTTCCTACCTATTCCTTAAACCATTGGGTCAAATGCAGTCCCATCATAATAAATCATTAGATAAACTTATTTGATATATATACTGAGGGAAAAGTCAGAGAAATAGCCATCATTTATTTGAAGGCAATTTCCTAAATTATTTTTAAGTATTTTAAGTAAATACATACTTGAAACTTTTTTTAATGTTCCACAGATTAAAATGCCCTGTACACCGTACAGAGCCAATTCCTAACAACCTACAGGTAAATCTCCTACATTCAGATACATCTAGCAAATTGTGGTTTTTAGGTACTTGCCTTTTGTTTAGATTCTGCTAGGTCTTCTTTTGAGATTTTGAGGATTGTGTAGTGATGCAGTGCTGAGAGAGAAGGCCATTTATTCTAGAACATTAATTATTTTACACTGTCCTGATGTGATACGAGATCGTGTGAACTAGTTACGTTTTCCTTCCTTACTCAGTCCATATTGGGCAGACAGCAGCCTACAGAGCTCCGTATAGCTTTGTCTTCTGAGTCTTCTCAAATGGATTTACTTTTTTCATTTAAGTTTTATGGATCTTCTGAATTTCAGATATATTTAAATATAAATGAAGAAACACATTTCCAAGCCAAATATGTATAATTATAGGTGAGTGTATTCCAGAACTCTTCAAGTCCATATAATTAAGAATTCACTACTTTTTTAAAAAGTATTTGTGGTTGTCACAACAACAGATCTATTCAGGGAGCGCATACAAACGCCTCAACCATGTAGAATTAAGAAAAAAGCAGCAACTGGCATTCACCATACTGCCTAGAAGTAGTAAAAATTGAAGCCTTGCCTTAGAACTGATAAAACCCTGAAAGTAGCTAGAAGTGATAACTGACAGCAGATGTCTGTCTGAAAGACTGTCTAGATGAAGGCATTTCTGTTTTGTAACATACTACAGTAATGGATGATTTGGCTTCATCATTAAGAATAAGAATTACTTATTTTCCTTAAAACCTGTTTTTAGGAAAGTGTGTAATATACTTCAGGAATACTGCCATCACAAATGTGCAAACATTCCTATTGGCTCTTAAGTAGTAAACAAACACTGGTTAACTGAGAAGCACATTTGGAATCCTTCATTCTTTGATAACACATAAATGAAGCACTATTGTCCATAGTGTTTAAAAAAACATTAATTAAGAGGGCATATACCAATAGAATGCAATCCTCAGGCTTTAATATAATATACCCTAAGAGTACAAAGTTACAAAGTTAAAAATGGAGTAGCTGCCTTCCTGACAGGAAGAGAATCCTGCATAGCGAAAGGGCTATAAAGCAGTGAGGTCTGATCAAAGATGATCAGTGTACCAGATTCAGAGGGAAACACCAGGAAAACCCACATTCTGCACAGTTTTTCCTATTATATTTTATTTCAACCTAATCCTATTAAATATTACAAAATAGAAATAACAAATATAAACTCCATTTAAACGCACTATGATGTATTTAAACATCTTTCAACCAGCAAAAATAAAAACAAAACTCTTGGTTTTTCTTACGTTTTTCAAACCTATGAAATAGTAAATGTTATTTCAGTTTAGCTTACAGTACATTAAAAAAATAATGGTACAAGAGAATAGAGCACTGTAACTAGGTAATAACAAGTTTAAATTCATGGTAAAATCTTTAGAGAAGAGATTTCAATCTTGAGATGGAAGGGTTCCCTCTAGATACAAAAGCATTACTTTGCCTATTCACTTGTTTGTTAGTCTAGTCAGTGATACCATGATTCAAATTAAACTGATCAAACTACCCAGGCAGTGCTGATTTTGAATCAGCTGCTGTGGTCACTGCTGAGCAGGACAGATTCGCTCACTAGCCCCATCCTGTGCTTCCATAACACACAGACTAGACTCAGGAACTAAATGCCAAACGCTTGATTAGTGGTACTAAGAGTTAAACAAGACCCCCATGGTCAAATTTTCAAAGCTGTTACAGAATAAAACATTCAAACAATTTTTAAGTCAGATCAACAAATAACATGTAAAACTTAAGATTAGCGCCACAATCTTTAACAAACATGTATACCACTGAAAATAATTTTTCCTATTAAGGCAAATTTTTTCTTAACATATGAATTATGTTTATAGTTTAAAAATGTAATTTCTAACCATGTTTAATCTATAGCAAATCTCAATTATAAGGAGAGTCAGCACATAGTTTAAAAAAAGACATCTGTCTGCATTTTTAAACTCTTTACTCTTCCTCTGTATATTTCCAGAGCTGTTTCTTGATGGGTATAAACAAGAGCATATCCAGGGAATTGGTAAGATAGTCTATTTCAGAGCACACAGGAATTGAGACATTTTCCCCTCACTTTATCTTCCTTGCCTGTTTACCAGCAGGACTACTCAAAAGGCAAATATAATTTGCAATTTGACAGATAAGAAAATGGAGGCATTAAAGGTTATTTGAACAAAAATTAATTATGCATGTGGCAATAGTGAAACTTCCCAACAAATAGGCAAGGAAGGCTTTTTTAAGGGCTTCTCATAAACACTCTGGGAGACACTGACAAAGCATCACAGAGTTAGAGAAGTCCCATGGAGGAGGTTCATCTGGATATTTAAAAAAAGCACTACAAAAATACATTAATGGCAGTAAAAATACTGCCCCAGAAATTTGCATAGTATTTAAAAAATCAACCCTGTAAAATGTGAAGACCCTTGTATTATAAAATTCTATAAATTGCAGGCTTTTAAAAACTTTTGATGAGATAAAGGACTGTGGCATTTTGAGTATTGGAGGAAAGAATCCAAGTTCTTTGGAATCTCAAAACACAAAATGCCAAACGTTACCATGGTGGGATTCCACTGACAGGATAAGCAGAAGAGCATGACCAAATGGTTATAGAGGAATCTCCTCTGACTTCAGAAGCTTCTTAGCTTTGAAGCTTTGGTATCTCATGATGTCCAGAAGACAGAGTTGTATCAAAAACTACTTTCCTGGGGTAAAGTTTTGCTTTTGAATAATCTGTCTGAAAATCTTGGATGATTAAATTTCTAAAAATGTGATTTTTTTTTTTCTTTAGGAGATACAGCAGTTCGAGAAGTTTTTGAAGAGACTGGTATAAAATCAGAATTCAGGTCCCTCCTAAGTATTCGGCAACAACACACCAATCCCGGAGCTTTTGGGAAGTCAGACATGTATTTCATCTGCCGCTTACAGCCATATTCATTCACCATAAATTTTTGCCAGCAAGAATGCTTAAGGTGTGAGTGGATGGATCTCAGTGACCTGGTCAAGACTGAAAACACAACTCCCATCACCAGCAGAGTGGCTAGGCTGCTGCTGTACGGGTACTAGAGAAGGGTTTGACAAGATAGATCTGACCATGGAAGAACTTCCAGCAGTTTACACAGGCTTGTTCTATAAACTCTATCACAAGGAACTGCCAGACAATTACAAAACTGTGACAGGAATGTGTTAAATTCATAAGTAGTGGACATTTGGATTAAATATCTCACTTAAATTTTCTAATGTCTATGATTTCCATGAAGAAAACTTGTGTGTGCACATTTTAAAAGCCTCTTTTCAAATGAAGCAAACGTTATCAGAAAGATTGTAGCTCTAAGTAAGCTTCACTGGATAAAGGCAAATGCTATATAAAAAATGGAAATCTATATATTTTCCAGGAATTTTTTTTAACTAAGGCAATGATTAAATATTTTACTATTATATAAAAGGTTATCTGGCCAGTTATCCAAACTGAGCAGGTAGCTGTACACATTTTTCTTCTTTCATTAACAAATTTCTAAAATATACCTCCTCTTTCATGTGAAATGATCAGATGCTGCCATTAAGATCAGCTCTTAGCAGACATTGGAAGGAAAAGTATAGCTTTCTGCCCAGGTCCTGTTTTGGGTCCAAGTTTGTACTGCCCAGTTCGTTTCAGTGCCACATACCAACTGGAGTATTTCCTTGACCGGTAAGTATTGTAGTTATTAGATTCCAATCGTTCAAAAAAGAAACACTCGTCTGTGACACATTTCTGAAAAATAAAGGAAAAATCAGTAGTTGTCATTATTCTTTTCATAATAAATATTTGATGACAATACACAGTGCTTTGGGTTTAGCAGACAATCAAACTAAAGTGAGACAGGCCAAAATCTGACACGACCTAATTCTGCGGGAAGAGCAGGACAGGAGCACAGCATGTCAGCAGGACAACTTCAAGCACATCTCTCCAGAGCAGCAGTCCAAGGACCATTCTTCGTCCCACAGGTCAGGTGTAGTATAGGAACCACATCAGTTCAGACTTGAAACGTCCCATGTGTGTCGATTTTAGTGTCCTCACAGCGGTATATACATCCAGTAACCAGCAGCACGCTCTACTGAGGGAAGCCCAAAGCAGTAGCTTCTGCTTAGGTATTTACGGCCCATACACCCCCCCCCTCAGTCTAGTGAAACGCTCCTAGAACTACAACCCAGGGGTAGCCTTCCCGTAAAGAAAGGTTTTATTCGTACATTGCTCACAGAAACAATTCCTTAAATTTGAACAAATGTTTTCTAGTGACTGAGTAATGTTGGTTCTAAGGCATAAAAAGAATATTGTAGAGAAAATAGCTAATGTATATAATGCCAAAAAATTGTACTGGAACATTATAATATGGTTAGCATTCTCAAAATTAATAGATAATGAATAAGTAATGTAGACCCCATTGGTTTCTGGCAGTCTTTCTTGTGGGAAGGGAAACTACCCTGCCATTTTACTTCAACTATGTAACAGAGGGGGAAAAACAGCTAGCATTACGAGTAGTTAGACTTGGAAATACTATTACAAGTAATGGAGTCCAATATAGGCCGCCACATTATTTCAGGTAAATGTTCAAAAGTCAATTTCACAAGGGGGCACGTGATACTTAACCTCTGGCCCGGGAGTAGTCAACAAACAACTATGCTTTAAGGAAAAAGGAAATTTTTTTTATGTTACAATTAGATAAGAATGATCAACTCATAGAATACCATATATATTTACACATCTCTCCACATGTAAATATAACGTGTACATAGATAAAACATGAGTCTATGGTTTTGTATTAATGAGCATATCAGATTCCAGCTAATTCCATATATTCAAGTCTAAGAAACCAGGTTTGGGGAAGTCCATTTTTTCCCAGATTTTGGTTCTAAGATAAACTAAACAATGGCACAAAGTGTGAGAAAAACACCAGTAAGCAAAACAATGAAAAGAGTTGGCATAATAACCAAAATGTTTTAAAAGTAAAGGACTGAGAAGGAAACGTAACACTTAATAAAAGATACCTATGACAGACCCACAGCCAACATAGGGAAAAGTTGAAAAGAAAGCTTTCCCACTGAAATCTAGAACAAGACAAGGATGCCCACTCACCCCTTCTATTCAACATAGTATTTGAAGCACTAGCCACAGCAATCAGAGAAAAAAGGGATCAAAATTGGAAGGGAAGAGGTAGAATGTCACTATATGCAGACATGATAGTATATATAGAAAACCCTAAAGACTTCACACAAAAATGACTAGAACTTACAAATTCAGCAAGGTAGCAGGTTACAAGATGAACGTACAGAAATCTGTTGCATTTCTTTACACTAATAATGAAATACAAAAAAAATTTTTTAAACCACTTTAAAAATGCATTAAAAAAAAACAGGAATAAACCTGACCAAGGAGGTGAAAGACTTACACACTGAGAACTCTAAAACACTAATAAAGGAAATTAAAGATGATTTAAAGAAACGGAAAGGTATCCCATGCTCTTGGATCAGAAGAATTAATACTGTTAAAATTGGGCATACCACCGAAAGCAATCTACAGATTTTATGTGCTCCCTATCAAACTACCCAGGACATTTTCCGCAGAAATAGAACAAATAATCGTAAAATTTATATGGCATCACAAAAGACCCAGAATTGCCAAAGCAACACTGAAGAAAAAGAACGAAGCTGGAGGCATAATTCTCACAGAATTAAATCAATACTACAGAGCTACAGTAATTAAAAACAGTGTGGTATTGGCACAAAAAAAGACATGGGCCAATGGAACAGAAGAGAGCCCAGGAATAAACCCACACACCTACAATCAATTGGTCTTTGACAAAAGAGGGAAGAATACACAATGGAGAAAAGAGTCTCTGATTAGTGGTGCTGGGAAAGCTGGATAGCCTCATGTAATCAATGAAGCTAGAGCACTCCCTCACACTATATACAAAAATAACTCAAAATGGCTTAAAGACTAAGTACAAGATAGGACACCATAAGTCTGGGAGAAAACAGGCAAAACATTCTCTGACATAATCAGCAATGTTTTTCTAGGTCAGTCTGAGACAAAAACAAATGGGACCTAATCAAACTTACAAAGAAAAGGAAACCATCAACAAAACAAAAAGACAACCTTGAATATAGGAGAAAATATTTGCAAATGATGCAACTGACAAGGGCTTGATTTCCAGAATATATGAACAGCTTACACAACTCAGTAATATAAAAAAAAAATGAGAATATCTAAACAGACATTTCTCCAAAGAAGACATATAGATGGCCAATAGGCACATTAAAAGATGCTTAATATTGCTAATTATCAGAGAAATGCAAATCAAAACTACAATAAAGTATCATCTCACACAGGTCAGAATAGCCATCATTTAAAAGTCTACAAACAAGAAATGCTGGAGAGGATGTGGAGAAAAGGGAACCCTCCTACACTGCTGTTGGGACTATAATTTAGTGCAGCCACTATGGAAAACAGTATGGAGATTCCTTAAAAAAATTAGAGTTACCATATGATCCAGCAGTCCCACTCCTAGGCATATATCCAGAGGAAATTAATTCAAAAAGAAAATACATGCACTCCAGTGTCTATAGCAACACTATTTACAATAGCCAAGACATGGAAGCAACCTAAATGTCCATCAACAAATGAATGGATAAAGAAGCTGTGGTATATTTATACAACAGAATACTACTCAGCCATAAAAAAAATAAAATAATGCCATTTGCAGCAATGTGGATGGACCTAGAGGTAACAGAAAGTGAAGTCAGAAAGACAAATACTACATGATATCACTTACATGTGGCAAATAACAAAAATGAGAGAAATGAACTTATTTACAAAACAAAGTGACTCACAGAGAACAAATTTACAGTTATCAAAAGGGAAGGGAAGGAGGGAGAAATAAATGAGGAGTTTGGGATTAGCAGGTACAAACCACTATATACAGAATAAACAAGGTCCTACTGTATAGCATACGGAACTACATTCAATATCTTGTAAAAACCTATCATGAAGAATATATATATAAAGAACTGAGTCACTATGCTGTACACCAGAAACTAATAAAATTATAAATCAAGTATACTTCAATTTAAAAAAGGTTCCATTTAAAAAAAAAAGTAAAGGACTGAGAAAGACCTAAAAGTAAATAACACGTATCTCAGTCATCTAAAGTAAGGATGTGGTGTTAGCTCCTGTAATCTGCTTCTAGAGTTAAGAATCTTACTGGCTATTTACTTGACTTTAATATTTCACCACTGTTAACTGCACTTTTAAAAACTGAAACACCAACTTATCTAATTTGCTAATTTTTTACAACTTACTAAGAAAGCAACTTAAGACTTTCTGATACAAATAAATCACAGGTAGCCTCACAAAGAAGCATAAAGACCCAGCTATATGATACACAGGACTGTCCTGTGCTGTTCAAAGAGATCCAGATGTGGTAACAATGGAACACTTATTCCTAGAGCAATGTGGAGATTCCATAGCCAATACTTCCACTCTACCTTTGATGAAATTTCTTTGCTTCTTGTGTTAACTGAAATCAACCTGTTACTTTATCTTATCATTTTTCAGTGCATTCAGTAAAAATCTTCCTTTTTCCCTATTCCAAGTTTCAGATCAGGAGTAGAAGAGTAAAAAGGAAAAGTCATGTCATCATAAAGATACCATGAAAGGGCAGCATTGAGCTTCAGGGGCTAATTCCCCAGAAGCAGACCCAAACCACATTGTTCAGTCATCCTCAAGACATTGATATGCTCATTTCTGAGTGTTCAGTCAGACCTCAGAATGCCCCCACCCCTTGCTAGCTGGCACTCCCTACGATGCTCGGCCAACTGGGATATGTACTATGCTAATAATATTTGCCTTCTCAGCCAGTTGCTAATATTTTAGAGAAAAGAAACAGTACCAGGGACTAAATGGATAATACATCATGGAACCCACAATTTTTTTTTTTACAGAGGTTACTTGTACCTTTATACAGAGGGAAGAGAAGGGAACTGTGCATCTGTGCTGAATGCTAAGACATGTAAGTTACTAAACAGCTGTTATGTACCTGAAAACAAATTGCATTATTTTTTTAATGAGTAATAGAACCAAAATTCAGCCTCAATAAAAGCAGGCATTTAATAGCCCCATTGTAAGGACAATTTCCAATTCCCTCCATTCTGAGTTTACAAGTCATCTTCACAGATGTGATCTCAGTGTTCCTGTTAAAAACTGATGCAATGTAATTTTATCTTTATAAAGATATTTACAGAGC